GTGGGGAGAGATGTAAATCCCATGAAAATTATATGGAATGAGTTCCTTATCAAATATGTGAAAAGACTGATAATCATATGCCGATATAGATAAGTGAATTTAAATCTCTAATTCTATATTTATATCTTATCAATTTAAAATCATTCAACACATTTATATATACATATGAATGAGATAGGTTCATTAACATTCGGGGTGTAGAAGGGTCGTTCGAGTTTGATTGAGCCTTGACTCGAGCTTGAGATTCATTAATTAGTGAGTTTGAGTTCGGGCTTAAACTTAATTCTTTGATTTTAAGCTACGTCAAAAAGAAGTTAACATTAATTAGAGCTCGTATTAATTAAAAGAAAAATAATAAGAAAAATATTTGCTCTAAAATATAAAAAATATATATTTTTTTTATTTTTTTAATAATTAATAGCCAAAAGTCTTAAAATTTACTATATTTATCGTATATTTTATATTAACATTTCTTTTTAAATGAGAAAGCTTGCTTACCAACGAGTTGAGTCAAGACTCAGAGTTGGCGTGAGCTTGGCTTGTTAGCTTATGCAGCTAAACTCGTGAGCCACATACCGAATCGAGCCAAAGCTATAATCATCTAATAATTTTAAAGGAACATTGACACATATATTTGATTTCAAACATTTCAAATTTATCAATATTTTATTTTATATCTTCTGTGGATTGAACGGTTCTGAGCGGAGCATGCGACACATGATAGAGCTCTATTAGAATAAACAAAGATACCTGGAGGAGGATCGATTGACAGCAAACAGCCGACCGGAGATTGCTTGAGCGGCTGACCAAGGGTCAACTGACAATAGACCGACCGAAGTAGAGGTTGATCGACACAAAAAGTGCTCAAATAGAGGTCGATCGACAAGAAGATGACCCACACAATATTCATCAATTGCAGGCATGAAGTCAATTGGTTTGGGGTCCACCGTTTAAAAACGGTCAAGAATGTAGTCATCATTTCACAACAATCCTATCTCCTATAAATATAAAAGCATTAAATGTAATAGAAGTTATTGATGCCACATAAAAATATATCATCTTCTTTCTCCTTCTGTTCCAGTTTATATATATATATATATACTTCATGAACGAGAGAAAGAGAGACATAATTGCATTAAAAAATAGGGAAGATTTAGGGTCACTTTAGGGCGGCTGCAGCTTATTGAATAATTTGCTGATAAACTGATTAAAAAAATGTGTTGATAAGCTAGGAACAGTGACTATTATAAGTTTTTATTTTTTTTGAAAAAGCCACACCACTGCCAGAAAGTTGACACTACACCTAAGATAAGTGCGGTGTGAAAACACTTTTCAAAACACATAATCTGTCAAAACATAATTTACCCAAATAGTCTAGTGTGTTTTCAAAACACCACCGCACCAAATAAACTGCCCCAAATGGACCCTTAGAAACACCCCAATCAATTCCTACATATTTGCATAAACAACACCTTAAGTTCAATTTTTACAAATATGTCATCTTACTTGTGCAAGAAACGGTGCACTTCACATTTTAAACGTTAAAAAGGTGGTAATTTTAATGTGATATGACACGTTTGGGTGGTATAAATGTAATAGAATAAGTAAAATTTATGTGTAACATATGTAAATACATAGAGATTGGGTGGTATGTTTGTAAAGTTATAAGAACAGCTTGTCTCGACAGCCAAATTATTATGCCTAGAAAATGCTATGTGAAAACACTACATAACATTAATTCCAATTCTATCACAACATTAAACAATATACACTATCATCATAGAATTAATATGACTCATAAATCTATAACATTAATTCTAATCAATGCTATCACAACATTAAACTACATAATATCATCAAGGCATTAATATGACTCATAAATCTTTAACATTAATTCTAATTAATTCTATCGCCACATTGAATTATAGTATGTTATCATCAAAACATTAATGTGGCTCATAAATTTTTAACATTAATTCCATTTGAGTTCTAGGAAGATTTACATACATACCGCTCAATTCTCGCATGTTTACTTGTGTGCTACGTAAACTTCAATATTTACTGCATGCCAAAAATTAGCTTTCGTGGGCTAAATCACATGGACCTAGAAGGCACGTCGGCGTAGAAGGTACAATCATCATCTGGAGGACCAGCTAAGCCGACTTGTTGGCCTCACTCTCTAGTCTCTAACATGTCAGTTATCACGCTTCATTTGTCGAGCTGACCAGCCTAACTAACTTAGCAAACAAACTCACTGAACTGATCTGCTTGTTTCATCTACTGAACTGACTAGCTTAGCTTACATTATTGACAATCCTCGAAACAATCAAAACACCAAAGTTAAGACCCTCATAAAGAATAGATATATGTCACATCTTTATTTATGAACCATATGAAATCCACGTTACAATACTTTCATTGAGGCAGTGTGGACGGATTGTGTATGTTATGGCCTTTATTTTAATATTTGCTTGAACATATATAATGGATAGACAAAGCGACTGGAGGAAGAATGTAGTATCTAGTTTTCGGGCCATTTTGAGGGATCCCACTTCATGATTCTTTTAGGTGTTCTCGAACCCCTTCTCTCTATTGATCCTTGCTCGCCAGATCATTCTCTATGCTCTGTTTGAGAGGAGTCATAAAGTGGACACATAATTTAGGTACGGAGAACGTGAGTTGTATAAACTCACAAACAATACTGGACCCAACATATTAAAAGCATTCAACATCTACATTTGTGCCATCCCATCTATGCAAAAAAAAGGTGTATTCGCATTTAAAGTTAAGATAATGGTTTTTTATGCGATATGAAAGATTTGAGCAGTATAGATTTAAAAAAGTAAAATTTAGATGTTAATATGTAAATACATAAAGAATTGGGTACTTAATTCTATCATCACATTGATTAAACTATGCGTTATCATCAAAGCATTAATTTGACTTGTATGTTCTTAACGCTAACTTCAATTAATTCTGTCACCACATTAAATTCTATATTATCAACAAAGCATTAATATGCCTCAAATTTTCAGCATTAATTTCAATTAAATTTATCTCCAAACTCAAGTATATATATATATATATATAAAAGAATGGTTGAGGCTATTACACGAGCTCCCAGCCACCCTCAAGTGTCTAACTATTCGAGGACCGCCCTCACCACCGACAAATTAATCAGAGGGAGATTCAAACGCGTGACCTGAGGGGAATTACGACATTTAAAGAGGCTGCTATACCAACATGAGCTTCCTTGCATGTGTAAGGGATTCGATTGTGCGTCAGTCGACCATCGATAAATAGAAGAGGAAGGTGAAGGTGTGGCAGGAGAATACTGTGGGAAGGAAGAAGTCGAGGTTGAAGGAGTCGATTGTGGGAAGAAGAAATGAGTTCTGCTCACCGCACTGTGTTGAAGACGAATCGAGTACCACACGTAGCCATGCAAAGGAAAAGGACTTGCATACAGGAAAGGGATTTTTCGACTGATTATTGATACATTATTAAATAAATATTATATATTATATTTATAAGTTTATTATTTAAATGTTAAATTTCATTCGATTCAGACATTAAAAAAAGGTTATGGTTTTAACTTTAAATTTATTTTTGTATAAAGTAATAATATTTAATATTATTTTTATTACAATAATCAAACTTCAAGTTTAAAGTATTGAAATGTTAATTAAAATATGCAATACAAACATAATCGATCATTAAATTAAAACATAAGTAAAGTGATAACTGAATATTTTAATTTTTCAATGTGATAATTTGATATAAATAATATAAATTAAGAGCAAGCAGGTCGTTTATCATCAAAGTGAATACTCATATTCTTTTATAATAGTAACATTTATTTTTTCACGACCAAATGTATTTATGCTTACTGTTATAGTACTGCATACCCATGATTTATGATTCTATTAAATTTTGTTCATATTGTCAGAATGACTTGTGTGCTCAACTTTGTTTAAATTATCGTAGAAATTAAATCTTGTACAATAATATGGACTAACACGCAAATGAGAATGAAATATTCATTAGTATATTTCATTAGTATAAAGTAATATTTTTATAATATGCTTGTATGTGCATGATAATGAGAGAACCCAAGTACACGTGCACGTATATAGAAAATGATATTGATATTGAAGTACCTTAATTGATATAAATTTTAAATGGTGCTCTTGCAAATATATTAATGAAAAATATAATCTGTTATTAATATAATAAGATTCATTGAAGAACATTATATCCTTAAGATATCAAATATTTATATTGATTTTTCAAATGCTTAACTGCATGCATATAATCATTAGTATTCACTGATTTCCCTTGTATTACTCTAATTTGGGAGCGTGAGTATTCTATATATATATATATATATATATAATTATATTTTTAACCAAGCCAATCAAATAAAAATCATGATTTTTTTCTTAATATATACTCGCTAAGGTATCATTGAATTTTTTAATCTTATTTGGTCAAATGAGACATTGGGTTAAATTTATAAATATTTAAATTTTATCCACTAAATCTTAATTATTAATTACCAAATTATGTGTTAAATTCACATAATATGTGTTAGAAAATAAAAAGAAATTTTATTAGAACTAATATACTAATTAAACTATCTAAGCCCTCAAACATTACAATTCCTTTGCAAATTACAAAAAAAAGTGATAAATTACAAAAAAAAAAAATGAAATTACTTAATTTCAGATTTATTTCTTCAATTTTTGAAGCTTTGAGGAGCATATTTCTTAACTAGAGCTTGAATTCCTTTCTCTATGAGAAGATAAGATTGCTTCAATGGCTTCCTTCACTTGAGAAATGTCAGGTGCTCTTTCTCCTTGTGCAGGCCAGAACTCATCAGTAGCTAACACCTGAATAATATATTCCAATAAATATTTATCAAATAATATTAAAATATATTTTAATGTAAAATATATTATTTTAATTTTGAAACAAATAAATAATATGCTAATACCAAATTTTATGATTTGGTCATTACCTTTACTTGTAATTGCAGGAATTTCACATAACTTATGGCTTTCTCTAGCATTGTAACCAAATCAACCTGAAATTTCAAATTACAAATGAACCCATTTTGCTTAAAAAACTTTAGATAAATATCTTAAATTAAAAAAAAAATCTTTTTTTTTTACCTAAAAATCAGAAAAAGATGAGCCCTAATCAAATAAATCCATGAAAATTTTGGAAATTACAGATGAAGGAAAAAGCTCACCTTTGTGCCGTTTGGGATGAGAGCTTGTAAGATTTTAAGCCTTTCACTGATCCTCTCCCTGCGATTCTGCAAAGCACAGTAATCTTTTATCATTCCGTCTATAACTTTGTCAATATTTATACAAATCCTCAAAATTACACAACAAACCTTCGCGGCAACACTCTGTATATCCTTGGACGAACTCATCTTAGCCTTCGCCTGCCTCTTCATCCCACCACCATGCTTCTTTGAAGCCCTCATCTCACAACCCTTGCAGAACAACAAACAAATTCCAAAACTTCAACAAAATTACAAATCCCAACACATTTCATGAATTGCATAAAAAAAAAATTACAAAATTCACCATAAAATTAGCTCCTTTGCTCAATCCCGTCATCTTCCCAAATCCATCACCTTCATTCCTGAAACAATTCGCGTCACAGTTCTTCCATCTGAGCCGATCGATCGTATCATTCTCATCTTCCATCGAATCGATCCAACTCACGGAATTCTCTTTGTAATCGACATCTCGCTCGAAGCTGAGAACCGGCGGCGAATAGATCGCCGGCTGATGATGATCGGCGCCGCTTGGTTTAAAGTTGATGAGAGGGCGGGATTCGTGGAAGGCGAAATCTGACGATTCGAACAAGAAGGTGTTGGGATTGCGGAAAATTTGATTGTCGGGAAGGAAATCGTAGCGGGAGAGAGAAGAGGTATCGAATCCTTGAATAAAAGCAGGGGATTGGGGAGTGTATATCCCTCTCTCCTTCGCGAGCGCCATTAGAGATGAAGGAAGAAGGAAGGCGGGGGGAGGAAGCGGAAGAGAAGAGTGTGTGTTGTGCTGATTCTAAGAGGGTAGATATATAGGAGATTATAATATAAGATTTTGTGGGGTGGATTAAAAAAATATTGAAAATAAAGAAATAAAAAAATTAGGTTTTTGTGTTTTTTATTCAAATTTGGTTGTTTTAGAGAAAAGATTGAGTAAGAGAATTGATGTTTGATCTAAACAAATTTGTTGGGAAAATACTTTCAGTGAATTTGGATGGATTCTCTTGGTTATGATTTGCTTTGTTTTTGCTTGAGGTTGTTTCTTGTGATGGCTCGGTTTGGTTTCAGATCTTAATTTGGTGTTAGTAGCTTTTGGTAGATTTTTGGCACCATTGTTATGCTTGAATTGGCTTTTGAAAGATGTTTGGCTCTGTTTTATTTCGAGTAAGTTGTTTTGATTGCTGCTGATTGGCATTTATCTAATTGCTGATTGGAGAAGATGTTGTCATTCTTTTGAATCTTTGGAGCTTTTATATTGAGGATGTTGATTGGACATGTTGCTGATCAGGGAGCTTTATTTTGAGGTTAATGTTCAGAGATGTTGTTGCTCGGTGGTTTTGTGATTAGGGAGCTTTATATATATAAATATATATATGATTAGGTTTTGCATATTTTAAATACATAAATATAAATTTCAAGAAATAGTAAATTGGGGCATTTACATATATTGCACGCAATTCTTATGTATTTACATATCTCAGAGCTAAACTTTCATATTTACTGATATGGTATGACTCATATATCATATAGGGACTGACGGTGGATCGATGCGGAGCGGAGCGAAGCTGAAGAATCTGTCCAAATTGGGAAGTTATTGGCAAAAAAAGCCCCGCGGTATGGTACAGGGGTAATTTGTAATTACATATTGTGTCTAGGGTTTACTCATGGGGTTATAAATAAGTCTGTTAGTAACCCCAGGAGATATCCCTGATTTCTGTAAACTATTGTCTGAATATTGAAAGGAACTCGCCGCTCTGCTCCCGAGGACATAGGCATCTTTGTTGAACCTCGTTAAATCTCTGTGTTCTTCTGGATTTGTGTCGATTCCTGTGTTTTTCCTCGCCCTAATTTTCTCAACATTTACGTACATAGAACAAAAAAATCTTTAAAATCACATAAAAAAAAGACTGTTATTATCATTTTTTAAATGTAAAATATGCATTTTCATGCCTACGTTTAAAGCACCAAAGTATTGTGAATGCAAATATTAAAGTTTAGATGCGAGATATGTAAATACATGAGAATTGTGCGCTGCATATGTAAATTTCTTTAATCTATTTGTTTAGGGGTTCATAAAATGAAGAAAATAAAAGAAATGGTTAATTATGCTATGGTACACTTTAAATTGTTTTAATTAATAATAATGATTTAATCTTAAGTCTATTAAATATAATTTTATGATACAAATTTAATTATTTCAAAGGGTGGGCAAAGAGGTAATATTGCTCTCACCTCATGAATTATACACATTTCTCCAATATAAAAACTCATTGAAACATGACTCATAAATGAAAATAAATAAGTAAGGGGACATTTACATACATACTACCCAATTCATACCTATTTGCATATCTAACACCAAAACTTTATATTCTTTACATTTATACCTCACAAAGGTTTCCCATCACATAAAAAATATCACTATTTTAACTCGTAAAAAAGTAAAATACGTGTTTTCATGCATAGAAAAGCTGGCTCATAGACGAAAAATTGAAGTTCATGTGTTAGATATGTAATTACGTATTTTTTGTGTGGTGTATAAGTACATATTAAGAAAAAAAAATAAACTAAAAATGGTACCCAAAGTCCATATAATATTAAATGAATATAAGCTATATAAGCTGTCATTAATCAATGAAATTAATGAAAAGATTAAATGAGGGGAAGAAATCAGTAAGGATGCAAAAGCATCGCCGCTTCTCTCGCCTTCCCCACGTCTTGAGATTCCTAATCCCACTTATTTTATTTTTTATTTTTTTTATTTTTATTTTTCAGCTTATATCACATGGCTTTAATTCTCATCTCATAAAGCATTAATTAAGGGGTTTTATATTTTAATTCTCTCTTATTATCACTTAGATTCTTATGTATTTATACATCTTTTGTAATAAATAACTTTGCATGAACTCGTAAATCAATATGTACAGCTAAAATGTGCCTGACTGAATCCTGCGTGGATCCGACGATTCAGAGCAAGGCGCATGTCGAAAGGTTGGCTTCATGAGATTAATGCAGGGTCATTCAAAGCAGGGCAATCTCAAGAGAATGACCCGAGGATAATACCAATTACTCTATTTCAAATTCTCTCTCGACCCATTTATTGTCTATTCATTGGGTGTGATTCATAGACAAATCAGGATTCAACACAATTCAAGCAAATGAAAGAGGATATGTGTCACGTACCCCGATCTGTTGGTTGACATCCATGTTATAAGACCTCTAAGTTTGGGGGTTTGAATCCTCTCTAGCACAGTTGGTCTTAAGAATATGGTACTTGCATTGTTAGACACATTAGGGGTGGTTGGAAACTTGTATAATAGCCTCTGGCAATTCTTTCTAATATATATATATATTAATACACATATATATGCATCCTTAGTGATTCATAGGCAATTCTTTCTATATATATACAACTTGATGAATTCAAATCTAAAATATTTTAATTTCTATTTATTTATCATATCCATGGGATTTTAAAATAGTTAAAATCCACCTTAATGAGTTACTCACCATCTAAGTTTGGATAAAATATCATTTTTTATATTCAACTCATTAAAATTCTTATAATGAATATTAAATTTAATTTCACACCAAATATATTAATACAAAATAAAAAAAAAATAGTTATCTATAGATCATAATCTTAATATTTTAAATTAAAAATATATTTAATTATTCTTTGTAGATCTAATCTAACTTTGACAACAAAGCAACTAAAAAAACATTCTTAATGAAACTATATCATGTACTTACTCTACATACCATCAAATATATTTATATGTATACACATCTCTCATTTACATACAAACCATCCATTCGTATGTATTTACATATCTAACGCCTAAAGTTTGATATTTACACTTATAATGTTTTGGGGTATGCATGAAAAGGTGTATTTTACATTTAGAAAGTCATTATGATATTTTCAAGGTGGAGTTAATGATTTTAGTGGTATACATACAAAATGAGAGAATAGATAGGTTAGATATATAAATACATAAGAATGGTGTGGTAGGATTGTATATGTATTTTTTTATTATATTAATTCACTTTGATGGAGGAATAATGCTAAGGAAACTATATTGTGATAGTTATTTGGTAGGATACATAAATGAAGCCATTTTTTAGAAGAACAATTAGTTGTGCTGAACAAATTATGCAATATAAAAGTACTATTTAAATATAAAATATATAATTTTTATTTTCAAGTACAATATAAAAGTACTATTTAAATATTTTATGCATAAATCATATTGTGATGTGTGATGTGCCCTTCACACCAAGACTTGTTGTTGTGAGGTGTACATAAATAATTATTGATTGACTTTGATTTTTATTTTTTTTTAAGAAAAAGTATTGTGATTTGTTGCCCAATTTAGAGCTTTAAGAAAATATTTATATATATATATATATATATGCGTATCGTAGTTTTTTTGGTAGAGCAACCTCTCTAAAGATCGTAAGTCCCCTCAGGTCATGTGTTCGAATCCCCCGGTGTGTAGGGTGTGATATTCAAATATTTAGCACATTTAGGAATGACTGAGTCTCGTTTAATAGCCTTTGGTCATTCCTTATTTTACATTTGTCACATATTTCCCATCTATTAATTGGATTTTTTTTTAAGGCGAGTTTTAGTTTAAGCACCAAAATATTTTATTTATTCTTTAGCATAACTATATTATTTAACAAATATATTATATCACATATTTTTCTTATAAAGTGTATATG